TCCATGCATTCCCAATGACCCTTGATCTCGAACAACTTATAAGCGACGTTGCTTTCGAAGTCGAACCATTCAGGGACGACGGTGAAGTTCTCCGGTCGCTGGCGGCTACCGCCGAGCAACTCAGAGGGCGGCCCGAAAAAGGCCAGCGAAGTGGCGGCGCTTATGGTGAAGAAGACCGAGTTGACGCCGAGTTGAGTCGCAGCTCGTGGAACCAAGTGGCAGAGGAAGTCATGGACGATCCATTTGATGTCGGTTGATTCTTTGAGGAACTGAGTTAAAGAGGGAACGAGTTTGTCGTAGGCCTTTTTGAGGAAAGGGACTTTGTGAATCGGCAACTCGGAGGTTGACTCAGTGCCTTGTGGTAAGCCATCGACGTGAGGTAAGGGAAAGGAAACAAAGTCTATGTGAGGATGTTTTGGGAGACGTTGGAGGTTCTTTGGGGTGGAAATGAAAGATATTTTATGACCCTTTTGAGCTAGGAACTTGGAGAGCTCAAAGAATGTCTTAACATGGCCATAAGCTAGCCAAGGGAAGATTGCTATGTGAAGCCTATTATCTTTCTTCTCCATGTAAGCGAGACAATCTAGATCTAACACCTTACAAAAACTAAAGTCTATAGGTTGGGATTCAATTTATGTTTGCCCATTCTGAAGGTAATTATAATTGAAGCTAGAGTTTTCAATAATAACTTTACAATTTTTGATTCCATTGATGCCCATTTAAAGTTGGAATATGATTGCCCACTCTTTAGCCTCTATTGTTTTTTTGTTTTTTGACTGCTCGCGGGACGTCGATGCCTTCTTTTGTCATTAATAAAGCATGACGTTTCAAAAAGAAAATAGTAGTGTAAAACACTCTATCCATTAATGCACTTTGATTGTAAAAAAATTATCAAGAAACTCAAACTTTTCGACACCGTTCATTTACCAATCCAGTCACAATTCAAATTTTTTTATTAAAATATTTTCACTTACAAAAATTTAAATTAATTTTTTTTCTCCTACAGTATTTTTTTAATATAAATTTACTTTTTAACTCAAATTTATTGTGGAGATTGCATGAAGTAATATATAATTTCATACCAATAAAAAAACTTAAAATAATTAAAATAAAAACAATTATATTCATATTTGATATATATATATATATATATACTCATATAAACACTAGTAATTTCTTCACCAAGCAGTTGCAATGAAGTAAGGAACTAAAGCATACTCAATGGTGGATTCATCCCACTCCAATCCATCCCACCATTGCATGGAACCATAAATTGTTGGCAAATTGTGTTGAGAAAAGTATATGTGGGTGTTCTTTTACATAGAAAATGGATGAAGATGTGAAATAGCTTATATGCGTAAAATGACTCAAAACATAGAAGTTAACATTTTAAGTCAAGTTGGACTCTTAAAGTGTGTTAGGTTAGTTTTACATGTAGTGTCTCAACAACAAATTAGAGGCATTATTGCCTTGACAATCAATCACAGCCAGTCTCCAAGCAAGGAAAAGACAATGCCCATTGACAAATACTTCTTAGTTTTGGGATATCTCTGATTGATAATGTTCTAAGGCTTGGAAATCCCTCTTCTACTCTTTCATTCCCACTTACGAAGTTCATGCAAAGCTAGTACCTCCAAGCTACTTGGATTATTTTTATATGATAGAAGGAATTTTAGATGAGTGGTGCTCGCTAAATCAGGTCATTTGTCTTCCAAACTACTTGAATTCTATTTTATATGATAAAAGGGATTTCACCGTGCAAAATTAAAGATGAGTGGTGCTCGTTGAATTAAGTCATTTAGTTGTTGTAATATTTAAGTGACAAGTAAAAGAGAGAGTCTTTTATTGCTTAAGTCTATTACTAACTGTAATTTTGATAATTAGTGGATGATTCAATATTTGAGTGTAATCCTATAAATGCAAGTTTTTATCAAACTAAGTGAAAATTGTCTGTGTTTATTTTTTAATTTATGTTTTTGGTAATGTAATTATTTTGATATTAATATTATATATAGTATATCGCCAAAATGGGATATTTCAAAAATCATAGATACATTTTTTTGATAGAATTTTCACAAATCTTTTTGTCTCATGCATACATGTACATGACAAGATATTGATAAATACCCCTTACTAGGGGCCACACCCATGTCAGTTCAAATCATTCACAATTTGCTCTGCCGCTATGATTTTGGTCATCTTTTCGGACCCATGGACAATTATTGCGCTTATTAGGTAATTTGTCATGCTAAAGTGACAACATATTTTAACTTCTACTCATGTTTCAGAACACAGAGGTTATGAATTACATCATTACCACACCAATACTCAAGATTACAAAGCTCACTGACATAGAAGATTAATCTTACTATAACTTCGTAATAGTAATTAATTATTAATTATTTAATATAACTTTGTTGATAATTATTAATTGTACTGTATTAATTCTCACACAATTTAAAAATTAAAGTTATTTTTAGACTGTTTTTAATTTTAGCTGTAAATTCTTTAAAAATTACTTTTTATAATTTTTACCAAATAATATTATAAACTTTTAATAATTAAATAAGTGAGTTTGGGCTTTAAAAAATGATATGTAAAATGAAATTAAAGTTGCCATCAACAATATTGGTATGTACCATAATACTCTCCGTATGTTGCTAGCAGGGAAACTACAGTAGATAATGTAAATACTTGAGGTTCCGATTAATGAGGTTTCAGAACCCAGAAGTAGCGATAGATGTCCATGTCGTTATTAGAGCACACACACACACACACATATATATATATATATATATTCTAACAAATTACAACAACACGTACGTCCACAAGCTCTCTATTACTTAAGTGACTCAGTTCCACCCAAACTTTCTTGCAAAAGGAACTCAGCAAACTCGTCCAAGTGCTTCTCTCTGAAGTTCCACGTTGCAAAAAATCTCTCTCATAGTCCTTGCTTGGCCAACTACGTCAACCATGACTAGCGTAATCCACTCAGCAACTGAGTTATTCGTAAACGACCTGGTTTTATCATCAAGCAATGTAAAAAGTAATAAGTTAAATATATTTATAGAGGATGTTTAGTACCTAAATTCGTTTCCTGATTCGAATCATGATTCGTGATTCGTTACAGTATTTTTTCTCATAAAAAATACACGTAAATAAAAAATAATTCTAATCGCATTGTTCTAATCCATGAACCAAACGTCTCCTATAAACTAATGAGTTAGCAAGGGTGAGAAGAGTGGACTGAAGAGTGGCAGTAGACCACCCTTTAATTTTTTTTTTCTTAAGACATTTCTATGTAAAAAAAAGAACTTTTCCTGCTTCTTAGGGGGAAAAAATAAACTTTCGCATCTCTCTTTCCTTAGAGCCATTCGATTTTTTGAGGTTTTATTTTCTTTTATTTTTTTGGAAGAAGAGGGGAAAAAACTCTTTTTTTAAGGAAAAAAAAACTTTATGCAACAAAGACGAGTAGTAAGAGAAAAATGATCATATTCCGCTCCTTCCAAAATTTTGGGCAATTCTATTGTTCAATACTCCAAAAAATAAGGGGGAAGAAAATTAATAATAAGAGTGAAATATCACACACTTTCACAATATAAACAATAATTTTCTCCCATAAAAAAACAATAATTTTCGGTCATTTGTTGGCCACATACAATACAAATATTGTCATTGATCGTGGCTTGCTTTCAATGAGGTTTCATATAAAATAAAATAAAATAGGGTAAGGACTACGTACTCAACAAGCTCTTTACACACACGCACACAGAGAGAAAAAGGGGGAAAAAAAAGTCGTCAACAAGTTCTCTCTTACCACATAGTAGGGCGAGTTTAAAAAGCGGATCAGTTACTTTTCGAACTATAATTCACAATGAATTCAGTGAACTCAGTCAAGTACTTGTTCTGAAGTTCCACGTTGCCGAAAATATCCTTCATGTCATGTGCCTTTACCCTGAGCAGCTCTCCTTCTGGGTCAACCATAACTCGTTGAATTGACTCAGCCACTGAGTTACTCGTAAATGACCCGGTTTTCTCATCTCGAGGAATTTCTAACCCGATTCCCCGTCTGTGTAACAGCCTCGCAACCAACCCGAGATCCGAGCTACCCCCGGGAAACAAAATCAACGCCTTTCCAAATCCAAGCCCTTCAATAACTGAACTCCAACCGCAATGCGTCAAGAACCCACCCACCGACGGGTGACCCAAGATTTCGAGTTGGGGAGCCCAACCCCTCCATACCAAGCCCCGACCCGAGACCCGAGTTTCAAACCCAGTTGGAATTAAATTTGAACCAAAAGTTCCTTCAACTAGTGGCCGATCATTGACCACCCAGATAAAGGGCAACCCGGATTTTTCTATCCCATGACCTAACTCGTGAATCAAATCTTGACTCAGACTCAATTCGGTACCGAGTGCGATGTAAACCACCGAATTCTCTTCTTTACTGTCGAGCCACTGCTTTAAGCCTCTCAATCTCTCGTCTCCATGGGATTCTTCACCTTTCCAAGGTGGTGGCAACAGTCCAATGGGAAGAACTGCCTTTTGGTAAAGCTTTCTGAGTAGACTCAGTGAGTCGGACTCAAATTCGGAACACGTCCTTGTTACAACGATATCGCAACCTTGGACCACCTCAGCCAACCGTTGAAAATCAGAGACCTCCGAGTCCATGCAGTCCCAGTGACTCGTTATCTCATACAACTTGAAAGCGACGTCGTTACAAGCAAAGTCCATCCACCTCGGAACGACGGTGAAGTCCTCTGGTCGCTGACGGGAGCGATTTAGCAACTCCGACGGTGATCCTAAAAACGACATCGTGGTGGCGTTGTATATGGCAAAGAAAACTAGCTTGATCCCGAGTTGAGTGGACACGACGACTCGGGATAGCCAATGACATGCGAAGTCGTGGATAATCCAGTTCACGTCGTTTGAGTCTTTGAGGAACTGAGTCAAGGCGAGTTGGAGCTTGTCGTAGGCCTTTTTGAGGAAGGGGACCTTGTGGATCGGTAACTCGGAGGTTGACTCAGTGCCTTGAGGCAATCCATCTACGTGAGGAAGAGGAAGTGGGATCAAGGATATGAGATGGGAAAGGTTTTGGGGAATGAGTTTTTTGAGGCGGTTGAGGTTATTAGGGGTTGAAATGTAAGAAATTTTGTGACCCTTTTGAGCTAAGAACTTGGAGAGCTCAAAAAATGGCATTATGTGGCCATGGGCTAGCCATGGGAACATTGCTATATGAAGAACATTTTGGTTCTTGTTGGACTCCATAGTTGTTTGTAAGAAGAGAGCAAGAGATCGATAAAACTATAACGGTAGATGTTTACTAAAAGAAAGAGATGGAGAATAGTATAACTGTATATGTATATCAAAAGAGAAAAAAAAAATCTCTTTGTTTGGTGATCTGCCTCATTGATCAATGGCTGAGAATACGTAAGATTTCTGCCTCAATTATTAGTCCAGGATGGGACAATCAATCAACTGGACTTCTTTTTTATTTTTTTATTTTTTTATTTTTGTGAGGAAATCGGAAATCAATTGGACTTTGATCACTATGAAAAATCACTGCCAGTTATTTCTTTTTTTTTCATCCGTATTTATAAGGAAAGTTCTGGAATATAAAATTGTAATTTTATTTTATTTTATTTTGCTGAATACTGCAAAATGCAAATGCTATTTTGATCAATATGAAAAATCATTTATTCAATTTAGATGTTGAAAATAATGTCTAATTAATTATATTATATTATGCCGTTTGAAAATTTTAAAATGTTTTTGAACCTACATTTTATGTTATAATGCCTGAATCAGTTAAATAACACGACAAAACGTGCGTTTGATTGGTTGAAGACTGTTTATGACAGTCAAAATTAAAATGGCCATGATTTGAACTGTGTAATTAATATTAACCAGCTAGGAAGTGAATCAATATCCATTGTTGTTTTAATCAAAGTTAACGTTGCAGTAGTGCTCGACGTACGATACGTGTATTGAAAATTCCTACAAAATTGTTGCAATTGCTTTTGTGTGCAGTTCGAATTGTATTATTGTCGCCAATTAGCAATACCTGTTGAAGCTGGTATTATATGTATTATATTCTTTTTCATCCAATCTCTTTTCCCACAGGAACTAAAAACCAAAGATGTACATTAGTTTATGTACATAATCTATCCCAGTACTAATGAGACAACCAATTCTTTAAATGTATCTAACTCTTATTCATTGGCATCTCCATTACGAAGAACCATAGATGTTAGATAACTACTTTCTCAACACTGTCGGTAGGCTCCATCAATTTGTGTCGTCGGAATTTTTTTTTTTTTTGTTTTGTTTTGTTTTTTGTTTTGTTTTGTTTTGTTGTTGTTAATAAACCCATCGGACTGATAAGAGCACTCTAATAACATAAATGCAAATCAGGTGACTATTTATTTTCCTGTTCTTCGTAGGAGGTACCAAAATTTGTGTAGTAGTATGAATCACTGAAAAAGGAAAATAAAAGAGAAGAGAACATAACGTAGAATTCTATAGATGAATTTTTAATAATTATGTTTTCATCATGATTACCCGCTAAATATATATATTAATTTAATGACGTGTTGTGATAAAAAAAATTTAATCTCAATAATTATGATAGATTTTTTTAGTTAACAATCTAATTTATTACAATGGTCGGATTCGAATCAATATTTTACGACGAAAATAACAGCACCCATTTATGGGTAAATATTAGAGTAATCATTTAAACCAAACTTATATATATTATATGAGTTTTAGTGGTTATATATTTCCATCAAATACAGAAATTCAATTACGTGATAAGAATTTAATCTTATTATATATGTATATATATATATCTGTACGGGTGTGTTTTAATGATTACTCCAATATTTACTCATCAATGAGTATTATTGTTTTAGTTGTAAGACATTAATCCTGTGGTTGTAATAAATTAAATAATTGACTAAAAAAATTTAATAAATTTAATGACGTTAAATTCTTACCACACCAAATCATTAAATTTCTATATCTAATGATAACCACCGATAAAAAATAACCATTATTTAATTCTTCTTTATATATAGACACACACAAACATATATATTACTACTAATATATTTACCATATTGTCTGTTAGAGCAGCCCACAATAAAAAAAAGTTTGATCTTTCAACAAGACAAAAGCCACAAAAAGTGTTTTTTTTTTTTTAATTTTTTTTCATCGAGTTCCATCGTTTAGTACCAGATACAATTTGACACTACCATAGGGCCAATACTCTAGTTTCAAAAAAAAAAAGAAAAAGCTATACATATCATAAGAGAAAAAAGGGGTGTAAAACAGAAACTGATGACTATCTTTATGAGGAAAAAAGAAAAGAAACAAATAATAATAATAATAATAATAATAATAATAATAATAATAATAAATCAAGAAGAATTCAAAGGGGGTGACAGATAGAGATTGAGCACACATAGCTTCAAGCATGGTCGACGGTGCATGCAAGAAAAGACCATGGGTGCTCACTCTCTTCTGTCACCTCTCTACATGTACATGAATTACTATTAATTAATTACTTACCTTTTTATGTGCCGTTGATAATTTTGCAAGAGAGCAACAATATTAAGAAGTTTTTGAATGCTGAAAAAAAAAAAGAAAAAAAAAAGAAGCTAATTTGAATCCGTTATTTATGAGAAAGAATGAGAGGCTTTGATTTGATTGTGTTGGAAGATGGTGTTGTGGGATTTATATAGAAGAGAAGTTGTAGGGGGCTTTTGCATTCTAAATTATATTATGTATGGAATATTAGTGGTTTATGCTTCTTGTTGTATATTAAATAAACAAATAACAATAACATAAATGTACCTGTCCATGCTTATAAGTAGTGCTTGATAGACCAATGAAAGAAAATTTATACCTATGGATATTTGTATAATCTGTCTGATTTTTTTTTTTTTTTGGTGTATTAGTTTAGTTATATGGATGTTCTATGCACTTTAATTTTGATTAAGAATTTAAACATAATTGACTTATAATATTGTAATTTATTAATTGATAGTTACCTATATTATAAATACTATTAATGATAATGATAATAAATGTTGCCCAATTAAAAGACAAGTAGTTAGATTCTTAAGTTAATTTATCCAAAATGAATTCTCCACTCTAAATCAATAATGCAACGCGAATCCAGTGAGTCAGTGACTCAGAGAATTTGATTGTGGTCCTTTTTTTTTCTTTTTTATTTTTAATAAATAATGATTGTTCTTATTATAGATTGAGACAATGCAATTTAACTTCCAAATAGTGGGGTTCTATAATTTTTCAACAAAGTAAAACCATGTTCTCCCTATATATGGGAATCAACCAATAATAATGTAACAAAAACCAGAAAGATGACATAATAACACAATGACGCATTCTTGATTCGTGCCCTAAGATTTAGTAGGGGAAAAAGTGGCATAAAGTATAATTTGCCCTATTCCTATGAGTAAATCAAACAAATTAATTAAGTAACGTGAAAAGAAGCACCAAATTGCTTGCACAAATCACTACAAAAGCATATGAGTACATAGAACGTAAGTCGTGCCTTTTTAACATTCCACTACCTGAGTGCTATTTCTTTTTGTTTAATGTCATTTGCTGATTGGATTAATGTAATCAAAAGTCTTAAGAGAATTTTTAAGAATTGGCCATGGAGCAGATTCCATGGTTCTTGCAAGTCAATGCCATTTTTCTGCTGGCATCACTTTTATTTTTTATTTTTTTATCAATCTTTATATTTTCTGTTTTTAAAGTGGACTCTATTAACATTATGTATTATTATTTGAATAGAAAATTAGATAGTAGAGTTCACGTGTCAAATAGTGAAGATTGAGAATGAAAAAAGAGTGATACGAATATTTTTTTTTTCCTAATATTTCACCATAATGGTGCCTATGATGTACTCTTAATTTAAAGGCCGATTCCATTAGTGTTTATTTTTATATTAAAGTTGTTTCACTTAAAGTGTTCCACATTAATGGAGCCATTTCTTCTAGATTAGGTTTTTTATTTGTTTTTTTTTTCAATCGACTTCTTTAGATTACATATATTCAAGTTGTTCTGCAGTTAATTTATCCTTAAAAAATAGAAAAAAAAGAAATTGTTTTCGTATGTTTTCCTAGCTATTATCCTTTCATTTGTGTGATGCATTGTGACTTCTCTATCATTGTCATTTGCATACATGAAAATTGTCGTTTGTAGACATGTTATTTGTTGTGTGGGAAAATATGCGCTGCCACGTCAGAAACGGCCGACCTTTCCAAGGAAGAGAGGCCTCCAGACAACCGACCATTCCAAGGAGGAGAGGCCTCCATAAAGAAGGCTCTTAAACCTGCCAAGAGTCCCAATGGGCATCCATGAGGCCGCTCCCTCCGAGGAGGAGAGGCCTCCATGAAGAAGGTTCTTAAACCTGTATCCATGAGGCCGACCCCTCCAAGGAGGAGATGCCTCCATGAAGAAGGCTTTTAAACCAGCTAAGAGCCTCAAGGGGCATCCACGAGGCCGACCCTTCCAAGGAGGAGAGGCCTCCATAAGGAAGGTTCTTAAACCTGCCAGGAGCCCCAAAGGGTATCCATGAGGCCGGCCCTTCCAAGGAGGAGAGACCTCCATAAAGAAGGTTCTTAAACTTGCCAAGAGCCCCAAGGAGCATCTAGCCAACAGCCCCAAGGGGCATCCACGAGGCCGACCCCTCCAAGGAGGAGAGGCCTCCATAAAGAAGGTTCTTAAACCTGCCAAGAGCCCCAAGGGGCATCCATGAGGCCGCCCCCTCCAAGGAGGATAGGCCTCCATGAAGAAGGTTCTTAACCTACTAAAAGCCCCAAGGAGCATCCATAAGGCCGACCCCTCCAAGGAGGAGAGGCCTCCATGAAAAAGGTTCTTAAACCTGCCAAGAGCCCCAAGGGGCATCCACGAGGCCGACCCCTCCAAGGAGGAGAGGCTTCCATGAAGAAGGTTCTTAAACCTGCATCCATGAGGCCGACCAAGAAGGTTCTTAAACTTGCCAAGAGCCCCAAGGGGCATCCACGAGGCCGACCTCTCCAAGGAGGAGAGGCCTCAATGAAGAAGGTTCTTAAACATGCAAAGAGCTCCAAGAGGCATCCACGAAGCCGACCCCTCCAAGGAGGAGAGGCCTCCATAAAGAAGGTTCTTAAACCTGCCAAGAACCCCAAGGGGCATCCATGAGGCCGACCCTTCCAAGTAGGAGAGGCATTTAGACGGCCGACCCTTTCAAGGAGGAGTGGCCTCCAGACGGTCAACCCTTCCAAAGAGGAGAT